ATTAACTGTTGCATGCCAGCGAATAAGATTTATAGTGTAGTGGTATATTTGTCTTTGTCTATCATGTCTTTAGTGATGTAATACATCACAAGTAAGCATCAGGCTTTCGTGCCGGTCCCACAGAGTCAATCAGCAGCTTTTTTCTACAGCAACTGTTTATCTGTCACACAGGTAGAGATCTATTGTAGGGGTAGAGCACAACAACGTCTCCACAAGTGGGATCCTTGACAGACTAGAGAAAAATGGAGACATGCAAGACATGCCATATTTCCAGTATGCACACAACACTCCCTTGAAGTCAACTTTTCTGTCACATAGCCCTTTGGAAGCCAAAAAAATGTCACGCACTGGCACAACTGACATGTACACTGACTGAATACTGAAGAAACTATAAACAATGAGCCAAACTGACATTCACCTAGAATAGCACCTCTACGAAAGACATTTTAAACAATTTTATATTTAATATTATTGTACCATATTATACTACATTATTTTGGCCCATTCTAAATCATTCAATACAATCAATAAAAGCAAACAGGTATTCTGCAGATTTACAGATAAATATTTAACTTGAAATGAACAACGACTATAATTAAACACACAAATATTTTACATGGATTTCTTACATTTTCATCTAGATTCAAATTAGCTTGTATTTGTATTAGCTTGTATTTAGAGGAATACTTCACAAACAAAAAAAAACTTTGTAAAGCTAATGCTCACCAATGTCATGAAAAACTTTATTTTTCTAGATTAAAATTCTTAATAAATTGAAGTCATAGGGGTCTGTGTTTAACAACCGCAATTATATCAAAACATCCTTTTACAAACTCTCAGACAGCTCGAGCAGTATAATCTAACTCTCAGTAATACAATCATATATTCAGTACTTCCCAAACAGACAGCCCTTTCTGACAGGGAACTGAACAGAAAGTGACACTTATCCTTGCTCTCTTCAACGCCAGACTCCATTGACAAAAACATTTTTCTGGTCTACTGCTGCATCGATCGGCGGTGTGTTGTGTCATTGTGTGACCTTGCTGAACTCGAAATAACCCTTTTTTAAAATACCAAAGTTACACAATAGCACAAACAAATTATCTGAGACATTGGCAGACCAGCAGCTCCAGTGTTCTGTGAGGTAAAATTAGTGTTTTTGTCAATGGAGTCTGGGGTTGAATACAGCATAATTATAGCTTCTCTACTGCAACGTATTTCCAAGTGTAGGGATGCATATATATCTGCACACCATTAGCATCAGCAGATGTTGGCTTTAAAATGAACTATAAGACTCGGCCAACATGCTTTTTTTTTAAATTTGCACAATGAATGAATATTACATACATTGAAAAGCATTTGAAAAGCAATTAGACCTTGTTTTGGAAATTAAAATAAAGGTTTTGGCCGCTAATATCCAAACACACATTTCTTCCCTATCTATCTCCAAATTGCTCTGCTTGCTAGCTACTGCAACTGTTGTTGTGCTACAACCCACAAACTGCAAAGTGTGGTTTTATATGACTGGTGTGGCTGCTAGTCACCAAAAGTCTCACCAGGTGGATGAATTTTTGGAGATGCCCGAGCGTTTCAAACATTTGAAACTGTTTTATCTGGTCTTACAGAAAGTAAAAAGACAGGGATTTTAAAGTATAAAAATCAGTGACATATATATTTGCCATATTAAAAGAAATACATGATCAAATCACACAGGGACACAGGATTAAAACCACATTTTTCATTTCATGGAGACTTTGAATTTCACTTTCCACTAGGATTAAACTGCACAAGATGTGTGAGAGTTTGTGAACAGATGCTGGATATAGTTTTGCTGTTGTTGAACATGTAGCTCTATGACTAATTAATTGAGAACTTGTTTTTGGATTCTTTGCTCAGCATGGAGAAAGTTTCTTCATGATACAAAGTAGCACTAAGGAAGTAATTGAAATACAAATGATCACTTTATGTGTGAAGTATTCCTTTCAGGAGGACAAGGCCAAACAAACAGAACAAAAAGACATTGCAGGCATCCGATTGGGACATGTGAGCCTGCTGTTTGATGATGTTGGGAATATGCAATACCACAGTGAATTCACTATCAGACAATGATGGACATCTGTTACTCTACTGACAATATTTTTCATTTTATGTTCAGCTCAGATTCAGTCCTGTCAGACTGTTTAGACTCTTGAGCCACAAAGCTTGTTGTGTTACTATGACAACCAACTGTAAAGACTTTTAAAGAGTTATTAATACACTGATTTTGATATTTTTGGCTTTTTTTCTTCTGTTTTGATATATTTGAAAACATGACATGAAATGTAATAAATGTAAATATTGCTGAGTTTTTTTTAAATTAATGTGGGGAAATTTAATCAAGAATGCACGATAAACGGACAAGGATATGATAAATCTTCCTTCACTCTTGGCACCCACTTTAGGAACCCACTGATCTGGAACATCAGCTGCAGGGTTTTTTTTCATGCATGTTTTTCATGAGTGAGAGTGAAAGAAAAGCAACTTAAAGAGTAACTTAACCCAGGCTTAGAAGCAGCATTTCACAGTGTGTTGCACCCAACAGTGATGTCATAACACACCTGGAGTACACTGCTACATAACTGCAACAAGGTGAGAAGGTAAAATATTGAAATTCAGCGAGAGTAAGACTTTCTTGTTGTTCTTGAACTCCATGCTGCTGTTAAGTATACAGTATATTGGTGGTACAATGTGCCATCAGATGACAAATCAGTGAGCAGGTTGGATGTATAGCAGTATTGGATTTTTATATGGGGTTTGCATCAAAGCGACAAAACATCTTGACAGGTATTTCATTTTTTAGAAAAGCAGAATAGAAAATTCACTATATTTATTGATGTTGCAATATGAAATGACACAAGGAATTTAAGAAGGTGGTAGGTTTTTCATTTTTTGGATCTGACTGGAGGAACTTTGTTTTGTTCTACAAACCCCCTTTTTATTGTGTCTGCACTGCAAAAACACAGAACAATGGTAGTTCTTAGAATGCTGTTTTGAGGGTGTTTTTATAGCTCCTATTTCAGAATAGGTATTTTCCCAGCACTAAAAGAAACTTGAGAAGACGGGAGTGTACAGTGGTTGGTCGAACACATGAGCCAATGCTGCACCGATAAAACACAACGAATGACGAAAACACAGTCAAATGGACTAACATTAAAGTCCAGGTTTTACTGAGCATAAATGCAACAGGGGATACAGTGGGATTTTGACTCATCAAAGCAAAATGTGAGAATCTTCTATTCTAATCTTCTATATATCATTGTCTTCATTTCATTCAGGTTGTGCTACAGCTCAGTCACAGCTCCATTACGGTTCTAAATTATCGCTGACAGGGGCAAACGCATTACATTTCCATTAGGAGAGACATGCTACACCTTCAGAAACGATGCCAGCTCAAAAACACATATGAGAATCCAAAACAAATACAAGAACAGAAACGTGCTGCAAATGAAAAAATGTGTGGCAGAAAGCCAAAACCAGCACAATAACAGGAAACATGCAAATAGAGAAAAGATGCAAAGTCAAGTAAAAATACCACCCAGCAGTTGTATGCCTCCGTGCACCATTTTCTATTACAGTTTACATCCATGTCTGTGAAAACATGGATGCTTCACACACACATCTTCCTCCTGGCAGCACGGGAGAGCTATACTATCAGCACAGTTTCAAGGTGGACAGCCAAGTGTCACCAATTCAGTATCTGACCAAATGTCTCCCCTTCTGTTCCTGAGATATGACATTGAGTAATGGCCAAAATAGTGTATTTGCTGAACATTATTCTGTCACAGTGAAGTTGACCTTTGACCTTTTGGATATAAAATGTCATCACTCCATCATTACATTGAGTTAGACATTTGTGATGTTTTGTCATAATTTGTGCACAAATACCTTGAGTTCTGGCCAAAAACATGTTTTGTGAGGTCACAGTGACCTTGACCTTTGACCACAACTTTCAGTTTATTCTTCAGTCCGAGTGGAAATTTATATCAAATTTGGAGAAATTCACTGAAGGTGTTCTGGAGATATTGCATTCATGAGAATGAGAGAGACCAAAATCTAATCAGTTCATCATTGAGTCCATATGATGTTTGTGCCAAATTTTAAGAAATTCCCTCAAGGCGTTCTTGAGAATGGGACGGATAGACGAACGGACGGAGGGACAACCTGAAAACATAATGCCTTGAGCTATGGCTATCTCTGACGCGGAGGCATAAAACTTCCAGTGGGTCAGGAATCATAATCAAACAGGTCAAAATCAAGCCAACAGTTAATCCCAATTACCTAAAGCATTTTAATTGGTGGTAAAAGTGACCTTGCTGACCTCACAGTTCTCAGCAATTAACTGGGTAAATACAATGTCATCCTAACAATTAGACATGATGGACAATACTACAAACATAAGACCCAATTAGTAATGAACCAGAATTAAATATGTTTTTAGGCTCCTTTCCAGGATTCTGGAGAGTTCTTTGTTTATTTGGATCCCTATTAGTTGTCACCCTGGCAACAACTACTCTTCGTGCGGCGCAGTGACCGGCTCAGTACAGCACACCATTATACTGTATGCCAGGGAGGCTTGAGACATGCTTGAGATGATTAATCCAACAGAGTGGACACACTCAATTGTCCTCAGCTGCATTATACAACATAAATGTATAATAATAATAATAATAATAGTAATGATCATAAAGGTGACTAAGTGTTCACTGTGATGAATGCCCTATCTTTCTAGAATATGCAATATGCATTTTCATAAAATACTGACTGAAACCAGCGGTTGACTTAAGGACAGTAAAGCCATCTTAACACAGTGTGCCTTATGAAATGGTTGCCTGTTTTGTTAATCTGTAGGTAATGTCACAAAAACATGTAAAACCATGGGGATGGTGAGTTCTGTAGGTAGTTGGCTGGCTGCAGGTTGTGTGCTGTCCTGTGTAACCCCAGCGTGGCAGTATAACACCTACCTGCTCCGCCTGGGGCGCCTCAGAAGCTTCCTGGCTGGCAGACGTGGAGGTGTCTCCCTCGGTGAGCGTGGAAGGCTCGCTTTCTGCACCTCCGCTCTCACTTGCCTGTCTGGATAAACTGGACTCTGCCTGCAGTAACACACAGGGAGCAGCAGTTATCTACACTGTTCTTTGGCACATGTTATAGGGCTGGACAATGTGGACCCAAATGTACAGTATTTTATCATAATCTGTCACATCTACTTCAACAATAACTAATAAACAAATAATTATTTTGTAGCTAAAGCAGTGCATGATATTTTCTCTTGCCTGGTGGCTCACTTGTGGCTCACTCTGTCAGGGTTTGTGCTTATTAATTTTAAATTAAACACTCTGGACTGGACTGTGTGCTGATAGATTAATTTAACTGATTAGCTGTCAGTGCTATTATTGCAATCATAAATAAAAGTCAGTCATACAGTAATTGCCAAATATCAAATAACAACAGAGAAAAGGCTTGTAATAGCTTTACACTTCCTGCATATGTTTCGCATATGAAATGTGTAACAGGAGCAGGATAATGCCTTCTGAGCTGCTATAAGACTTAATTTGAAACATCTATACAGGAAGTGTCAATGTTTTACTAACAGTGGCTTAACAACAATCAAAAAACAGCTAAATAGATGTTTCTGGATAAACTAGAGGATGGCACTAGCATAAATAGTATTTATTAAGTGTTATCATCTAGTATATTCTGTATAAGTATTTTGGAATTGCCACTAAATGGAACTCAAAGTTAATTTTATCAACTGCTGTTTCCCAGAATTTACTAAGGCTTAACTTTTAGCCAACATGGCTAGAAATCCTCAGAGCACTCAGAAAAAAAATGGAAATATTAACAATCACTCTGCCACGACAACTGGGCAAACTCCATCTGCTGATGAAGACCATGTGATATGATGGAAATCCCCAGAACAGCTGGACCTTGTGGCTGATTATTTTCTTGACTGCTGTTTCCAAAGTGAAGTATGAACTTTAGGCTGAGTATTCCTGTTATTAAGAGAAACTGAGAGCAGCAGTAGAGAGTGGATACCTGACCCGAGCCCATTACTCAATGGGCCAGGTCAGGTTTGGACAAATATTTACAAACAATGTCCAGGTTCAGTTCAGGTTCAGCCTACTGGACATGATGCTTTTGAGTTCTTTTAGTGAAAATACAGTGTTAAAAAAAAAAAAGAAAGACAGACCTTCTGTCTGTATTGGGCTACTTCGTGTTCAGTGGTGGGATTTGTTGTGACAACGCATGAACTCAACACATTTTTCCTATTTCAGGCAGTAAATATTCAGTGCTTAGGCCTAATTAACTGTGCCAGGCTCGGGCAGGTTCAGGAAAAGAAAAAAAAAGAACGTCTGTCGTAGCTGAGTCCGGCTCAGTCACTACTCTCTGCCACTTGGGTCGGGTTTGAGCCTCACTCTACAGCACAGTGGTGATTGTGACAGGGCTTGTTGCCATGTCACAGTAAGAGCATATCAGCAAAGGGAAGGATTATTCGCTATGAGCTGCTGGAAAACTTTTAATGTGAGGAAGTGTTGAGTTTCATTAACCTGAATCTTTAGAGTGGACGAAAACACAGACTTGCCTTGGAAAACATCTAGTATATGGCTGAACCATGTATGGTCAATGTGCCTGATTGTTAGGGTTAGGGTTAATCTGCAATATTCTGTGGAGTAATATTTGTTCTAAATATACAGAAGTAGCATGTAACATGACACACCTGCCTATGACCACTAATCTCAGACAAAAGCAACTGCAAGACCTTTTAGTGCAACCCATGCATGTACACTGCCATGGCTGTAAAAGGAAAATTACACATTAGAAGAGAATCACATTAAATACAGTAAACATGGCAACACATTCTTTCATATTCTTCAGATTTCTACTGGTTTGTATGCTCACACTGCAGCCCTGTTTTTTGATACAGGGTAGTAGAGACTGACCAATGATACAGAAGCGTCGGAGCTTGTCTCAAATGAAGCATACAACATGACTGATGACGTCCAAAGCTTCAAGCATGACTGGTGTTTCAGAAAGCGCTTTATTGAGTTTGACAGCTTCAAAAGTTTTGCAGCTAAACTTTGTGATGGGCACACTGAGATAACTGGACTATTGGACTGTATCTGCCAATTTAATGATCAACACATGTGGCTGTAGTTGTTGATGTGAGAGAAATCTAAATACTGAGCAATCACAAGTCATGCTACTGACTGACAAGCTCCTAGGGAAATGAATCAAGGGAAAACTGTGAAGTTGGCACAAACACTAATAGTGCATAATTCCCATCACCTGAGCTGCTAAGGGTTAATAAAAGCCTTGGACACTATCTGAGACTTAAGTATTCTTAAATAATGACACAGTATTCAAGGAATTTATCGGGAATTGTGATATGAGTAAATTAAAATGGATAAGAGATTCAAAATGGTTTAATGTCCAGCCCTAACATCAAACAGGACTCTTGTAACCGCCAGTGTTTGTACCTTGAAGTTGATTTGCTGGGCCAGCTCTTTAGCCTTGTAGTCCTCTGCACTGGGATTGCTGTTTGGGGTAAGAGCCTGGAGGGCAGAGCGCATGGAGCAGCCACACGCTTCACAGCAGAAGTCCTGAGACCTGCCAGAGAACAGATTATACAAGGTCAGGTCCTCCCACTGCAAGAGTACCTCTCATTGTACAAGTCATGGTGCTTTTACTTAATCCATCCAGTAGGCACAATGGATCTGTAGTGAGTGATTATGTTTTTGGCATTATCACCATTTTTGGATAGTTGACAGAGAAGAGGGAAACTGGAAACAGGGGGGAGAGAGAGGGGTTATAGGAAGTTACAGTTATGTGGCATGCCCTGCACCCTTAAGGCAATCAAGGTGCTCCAACATAAATAATTTCTGGTCATCTCAGTGTGCATAATATCAATATTCTTAATGAAATAACTACCTAATTACTTTATTATTACATTCCATTCAGTTCAATTCATTCATGTGCAACTCCAATCAACCAAATGTTTGTTGGATGAGCTCTCATTCATATTACCTGTTGGTCCTTGGTCCAAACTGCCAACAGGAAGTGAAAGCTCCCAATGGGCTTCATATTAGAGGGAACTTAGACTGCACCATTTTCAGTAAAGCATATTGTGGGCTTTTGATTGTTTTAAAGTCTTTTTTAAATACCCTTATATCGTTAAAAAAGTATTTCACTGCTGGAAAGATGTCTGTCTTTTCATAAAACTGGGCTGTCTATGCAGTAGGAAGATGCAAATACTTTAGAAATTGGTGCTATATGACCAAAGAGAACAGAGGAAGGGGGGGCTGGTCTCTCTCTCTATCTGCCTCTATACTGTTTGTGTCCATGGTAGTGGGCATTTACAAAAAATGCAGAAATACAATCTGTAGTTTGAGTCATAAAAATCTGCTGGGTAAAGCAAAACCCGTCATCCAGCGGATTCGAAGTGATGAATGAGCAGGGAGATCTGGGCACTGGAGATGGAGGGAAGTTTAAATCAGTTTATTTACACCTGAACATGGTTTACATGGTTGAAAATCAGCAAATGCTCCCTTTAATATTTAAATGTTAGAACAATTAGGATAATGTTTTATAAATAGTTTTTGATCAAATTATTTGATTGTCTTAATTGGTTGCAGACTAACCTTGGTTTGTCTGTAGGAGGAACTTCCTGTTTTAACGCAAGGGTTGGATGCTTATAGGATGTCACAGTTACAGTTGAAGTTGGTTTAGTTAAACCACAATATTACTACTTTGAATTGTGCTGTTACGCTTCATGATGACTTGCTGAAGTGTCTTTGACACAGCTGGTATGTTACAACTAATAGAACACTGACTGGAAAAGTCTGTTGACATCTATCACAGATAGTATTCAATTAATACAATTCATTTCACTTTGATTTGGCCAAAAACAAGTGATTTCCAAGCATTCTATATTATGGGACAGTGTCAGACATAATGCAGTTCTTGAGATTGATGTTTCAATCTGCTGCATTAACGGTCACATGTAAGAAATGTGAAGTGAGCAGCTGGCATGTTAGGAATAAACTGTGGGCATTAAGAGTGCATTGATTTGTTAAATAAATATATTCATATATGAATTTACCAAGCAGCAACCTCCGGGACAGAAAAATGAAGCCAACACAGGTGTGCCAAAAACTGCAGTTCATGGGATGGCCAACTGGCTCCAGAAACCAGTCAGTCCCAGTAGACGAAGAAGACAAGAAGGCAGGATGTGATTGGTCCATTTTCATGTGGTAGTGCAGTCAAATGATGCATCAAACCCTTTTTAAGGAAATGTGCACAGAGCCTGAGGAAGAAAGCCTGGGTTGATAACCACCATGTTGATACCCGTTATCACTGACTGGAGCTTTAGGCTTTGTCATGCCAGCTAAGGCAAAGAAACTCTGAGTCTGTCAAACTTGCTTTTTATACACTCTTCTGGTACAGACCTGCTGGAAGCTTGCTTACTACAAGCTGCCCAATAGCCACGGGCCTAGCCTAACTTTTCTTTACTTCAATAATGGAGCTCTTTGTGGGGGTTTTTAAAAGATTTTTTTATTTCCATTTTTGTACATAGTTGTTTTCACCTCAACAAAACCAGCCTGACCCGCTTGTAGGAGTGATGTACACTTAAAATAAGACATACAGCGGGTGAAGAATACTCCATCCTCTGTACATGACATTTTAAAGATATTAAGACTTTTTTTTTGGCTTGTGACAGTATGAGGCCATTTGATAAATAACCCGGTCCCTCCACTCTATACGTGAACAACCTGCCTCACAAATGAAAATATTACTGTGAATACAATGGCAGTGCTTCAGCAACAAAATAAATGACCTGTTAATTATGAACAGGTCCAATATTAATGTTCTGGCTCACTTGTCACACTACATAAGATTAAACTGCCAAGTTAACTGAAAAATTAACCTGCCAAGACTTTTTTTACCAGCCAGCTTGTACAATAATTACATTTTTCCCTGATATATGTCACGCTACCTGTATGCAATTATACGGTGCCTCATGGTTGTAATTCATCATGAAGTGGAGTTAGGTTTGAAATTCATCCAGAGTACAGATCAAAACTGACGCAATGCATTAGCTGCAAAGCTTTATCTTAAATACATAATGTCACAGCTAGATGCTTAAAGGAAAATCCTGCTATTTTTCCATTGTCTTATTCTCATGAACGTGTCCTGTCATGCTACCTTTTCTCTCAACACCTCTGTTAAAGAGATGTGGGAAATGTGATTCCAGTGACAAAACATATATCGAAGTATACACAAACAAATTTAAATGCTTGTTTCTGAGTCCAACTGAATTTAAAGACAGAAATTAGTCCTTTGAATTAGCTATTGCAGCTAACAGCAGAACAGTCAACTTCCAGGGCAACTTGCTGACTAACCAAAAAAGCTGCAATGTAGGCATCACTGTTTCTTGCTTGCCCCAATGTTGTTGAGCAGAGTCTGCATTACCCACATCTCAGTGAGTGTGAAATTATCATGACTTTATGTCAGAAGGACAAAAAACAGCAGCACTTGACTGTTGGATCATAATTTTCCCATTTGCCTTTCTTTTCTCTTCCAAATAAGTTGGGCTAAAATTGACTTCGGGGTTCGTTCACAACCTGTCTGATCATCTGACTGCTCGTGTCTTGCGCCGTCACACTTCCTTTAAGCATTGTTGCTGTATTTTTTAAATGTCAATGGACTAATTATCACACTAAACTGACATTGTATTTACCACCATTTATTCAGCCTGACATTGTGTTCCTGTTAGCCAATTTCTTGCTGTTGCCCTAACCAATCTGTAGTGAGTTATGTATCTGTCTCAAGTGTTTGAAACGATTTGACTCACCAGCCAAGGGAACTGGTAGATGAAAAATCCACTGGCCATGCATTCAAGCATATTTTTTCCCTGGACAACATAATAAATGGCCTTTTTGTGTCACATTTACATTTGTTTAAGAACAGTTCATTGAGACAGATAACTCATTTTACCAACTTAAAATAATCACCACAACCTCTGCATCATATTACAGCCAGCCTCTTACAACTCCTTTATCTCCAAACATCCATTTTATCACAACACTTTCTTTTGTATGTGATATGTTCTCTTTGTCACTGGTAGGCTTTCGTATTACAGGTTGGATTACTTCTTGTAAATATCGCCACATAATAGCCAATTAGCCAGTCTCTCCAGGATTTCACTGTTTCTGTGAGATGCTCTCCTCCTACTGTCTCTGCCAGCAGCAGCCGCTAAAATCCAACACTGAGCCCTTAAGCAATCCCAACAAACTCACACTGACACTAAAAAAGCTTGACTCTGTCTTTAAACCTATCAACAGCTAATTTTGGGTAACATTAGCTGTGTGATGCTAACTGTTAGCCCTGTCACTGGGCGTGTGACAGCTCACACTCCTGTAGCAGTAGTCTCATGATGATCAGAGAGAGAGCAGGGCAAGGAGGGGCTGAGCGAATCAATAGGCTGCACGCAGCTCTACAATGAAATAAGATTTTACCTGTTTTAATAGTCAAATTTGCTGTTAAGTTTTGGTGATTAGAAACAAAAAGTAAGGTTATGTACAATTCCCAGGGATTGTGTTAACTGTTGTGACTGCAACATCTCAACATCCTCAAGGGACTGACTAGCCTGAAGATGCTTTCAATTTTTCACTCTACAGTGTTACATGGTAAATCAATGCTAAGATGCAAATAGACACGGATTTGTGCCAGGCAATGCGAATACAAGTCAAAAAGCATCTATGCGAGATGAATTGCTTTCAACTTGAGCAAAAAAATTGCGGGTGATGCTGTGCCTAAAAGCCTACAAGCGTTGAGATTCCTCTGACATCATTGAGAATCAGAACTGGGGGACAAACATTTTGTTGCTGTTTGTCGGCACCCAAAACTTTATGAGTCAACATTAGCACCAGGGACAGAACATTTAAGAACTTTAAGAAAAGTGAGCAAAGTCATAGGACCACATGGTAAGTTCTGAAAATATGTATTTGTTACTTGACTCCATTTATCAGTTGTACTTGACTTTAGACAAAGTTAGCACTAACGTTAGTGTTAGCTGCCTTCCCCAGTTAGATAGCACAATTGTTAGCACAGCCGGCACTCCAGTGGCTGAATTCACATTAGGCAAAAATTTGTTTTGTTTTTGGTCTAAACACACCTCATCAGTGGCTAGCAGCAGACTGGTGGCAAGTTATTTCAGCAGAGTAGCTGATGGCATTTGACATCTGGCATGACATTTACTCTCTAGTGTGGTGGATAGCTTTCTCAAATTTACACGCCGAATGGGAAATGTAAACGCATTTGGCCCTTGGTGGGTGGTATTTTCAGTCCCTGTCTGTCCTGCAGACATAATTTTCAGTTGACATAAAAGCCGTGGTATTAGCTGCTAGGAGAAGTTAACCTAATATGGCAATCAAAGAAATAATGGGATTTAGATTGAAAGAGTTGTTATTTCTGTAACTTGACTTACAAAAAGCCTGAACTGCTTGGTCAATGTAGCTAGGTAGCTGTGTAGGAAGATGACGTCCCAAGTTCATTTACAGTACAAAGCTCTTATTGGTTGAGGGTTTCTCCAACTGGTGGAAAAGACG